CACCAACAACACCACCCTTAGATTGGATCGCCTTTGTCATAGATATTTACGGACTCAAGGTGGTATTTTAAATCCAATTAAATTGGTCTTCGCCTTCCTCGGGATGTACGGGACTTTTGCAGATTTTGGGAATCAAATTGACAAAAAGGATGTTTGCGTTGGTGGAGGAAAAATGGGCCGGTTCCATCGGTTCTATGGACTTTTGGCAACTAAAATTCCTTTTTTTTTTTGGCAACTAGGTTGACAGTTTACTATGTTTTGTTTAGAAGGATTCAAAGCTGTTTTTATCTTATTATGGAAGTTGGAGAAAATTAAGATCAAATGTTGGCAAGCAAATTCAGTTTCAAGAGCATCCAAATACAAGATTTTAACACAAATTTGTTGTAGAAATTTTCGAAACAGAGGAAGAAGACAATGGTTGGGAAAAAGCAAAAATGAAAAGGTGTTTTCTTATTTTTAAAAATTTTAAATGAAAGAGATATGTTTGTTAATAATTGTCTTTTATTAATGGTTAAATTTAATTTTTTATCTATTAATTATTATTTTATTTTTATTTTAGTTTAGATAATTTAATTTTTTTTAAATTTATCTATAAACTATTCAAATCATTTCAAATTCTTTCATCTAGCAAACTTCCATTAGTTTGTTTAACGGTAACGGAATCTTATGGCATAATTACGTGGCATGTGATATATGCAATTTTCAAAAATTATACTTTTTTTTTCTTTTTTCTTTTTTCATTTGTATATCTTAATAATGTTTCACTTTTTTCCGTAAGAAATTTTTATTTTTTATTTTATAATAAATCTATCTTTCTTAATTTTTATTAACTAAAAAAATCATCATTGTGATTATTATGATAAAATTATATCATTTCTTTTAAGGTTAGTGTGGTTAGTTTCCCCTTTAAAAAAAATTAAAACTTTAACTTATATTTAGAAATTAATTTAAAAACTTAAATTCTAATTCAAAATTAAGAATCTAATCAATTTCTAAATCTAAATATTAACATTTAATAAAGTATACTTTTAAAATTTAAATGAAGTTTTAATTTCATAATACGAAGTAATTTAATATTAAAACTTCAATTTTTTTTAATCGAAATTGATATGCATTTTTTTATTTAGTTCAAAAAATTAATTTTTATCTGTACTGTCTTTTTCTCAAAATAATTTTTTTAAAAAAAATTTTATATTAAAAATTTAAGGATAATTTATGTTTACTTGTATTATCCTTAAAAAGAAATAAAAGATGAAAAGATACATTTTGTGATGGAATGATTAATTAAAGTAAATAGATAATAATAAATATTTTTGTTACTTTAATCTTATTATTATTTATTTACTTTAATTATCATTCCATCACAAAATGTATCTTTTTTAGGAGTCAGAACTGATATGCATTTCTTTTATTTAGTTCAAAAAATTAAATTTTATCTGTACTCTCTTTTTCTCAAAATATTTTTCTTTTAATTTTTTTAAATTAAAAATTTAAAAATAATTTATGTTTACTTTTATTATCCTTAAAAAAAATGAAGAGATATATTTTGTGATGAGATGATTAATTAAAGTAAATAGATAATAACAAATATATTTTTCTACTTTAACCTTATTATTATTTATTATTTACTTTAATTAATTATCCTATCACAAAATGTGTCTCTTAATCTTTTATTTCTTTTTAAGGGTAATATAAGTACACATAAATTATTCTTAAATTTTTAATTTAAAAAAATTATTTTGAGAGAGTATAGATAAAAATTAGTTTTTTGAACTAAATAAAAAAAAAGGAAAAAAATGCATATCAGTTTCAACTAAAAAAAAATGAAGTTTTAACCTTAAATTACTTCGTTTTATTTAATTAAAACTTAATTTAAAATGTAAAAATTTATTTTATTAAATTTTGATATTTAAATTTAAAAACTGATTAAATTATTAATTTTGAATTAAAATTTAAGTTTTTTAAATATAAATTGAAACTCTAATTTTTTTTTAGAAATCGAGGTTAATCCGCACCAACCTTAAAAGGAAATGATATAACTTTATCATAATAATGACAATAATGATTTTTTTAGTTGTTAATCAAAATTAAAAGATGTAGATTTATAACAAAATTTAAAATAAAAAATAAAAAAAATCTCACAAAAAAAAAATGAAAACATTATTAAGATGTACAAATGAGAAAAAAAAAGAACAATTTTTCAAAATTGCATGTGACGTGCCACATAATCATACCATATGATTCCATTAAAAAAACTAATGAAAATTTGATAAGTAGATGAATTTGAAATGATTTTCAAAATTTATAAGTGACTTTGAAAGAAACTAAATTTTTTAAGCTAAAATGAAAGTAGAATAATAGTTAATAAATGAAAAGTTAAATTTAACCTTTTATTAACAAATATCTATAATATATAAAAACTTTATCTTCATCTTCTTGATGCAGTGATTCTAATTTGAACAATATATACAACATCTTACTATTTTTCAACAAAAAATAGTCTTCTTTTGTGCAATAATTGTTGCAAAAATTTTTGTATAGAAATGATAGTTTTGCCTCTTAAAAAAGTGAGATTCAATAATTAGTTTTGTCAATGCAATGTTTAATCAATAGGATTTCATTGGATTCTACAAACATTTTTTGTTAACCCCTTTACATATCAAAATAATGAGAATGAAAATAACCTAAAAAAATTAACATTTGCGATGCACCTTGATCATATTTCTAATTACCAAGATCCAACAAAATTTGAGTAGGCCAGCCCTTTTCCGCAAAAATCAATTTCGTTTGAGCCTTGCACTCTCTTAATCATATCTTACCTTAACCTACCTAGCTACATCATATTCATTTAGTTTAGAGTTGCTCTTGACAAGTTTATTTTAAATCCGTAGTCAAATAGGAGCATAACAGCATTTTTCCATGCGAATACTCTTAATATTGTTGATTTTATTTTTTCATTTTTGCTAAGAACAACCTCTACGATATAATCTTATTTAATTTACATCTATTCAATTTTTGTACATTCAAATTGTTATTCATTTAAACTTAATTTAAAGTTGTCTTTCAAGATTAATTTCCAAATTTGTTGCGCTTTTATTTCGAAGCCTTTACTCTTCTGCCAGTTTACTTAATTTTCCCAAATTTATATTTACAAGCAATTTAAGATTTTTATCAATAATTTACATTTTAAGTTTTTTATTTTTTTTGTCATGATTTACATTTTATCCGATTTACATTTCATTACATTTTAAGTTTTTTTTTGCATATTTATGTTTTCAACTCTTTACTTTTCTTCTAACAATTTATATTTTTATCTATTTACATTCTCTATGCTTGTATTAATTTTTAATACTTTATCTATTAATATAACAGTTTTTTAATATGCTTATTTTAATTTTTTTATACATATTTATTGTAAGTAAAATCATTGAAATGCTTCTAAGGCAACCTTGGGCTTACAGTGCAAGAACTATTTCAACGTTTATATGAATTTAGAGCAGGAGCAAAAATAATTCTACTTTTATGTTTATTTTTTCATTTTTTTTCCCCTTAACATTTGGGACATATATTCCATCCCAAATATTTATTTTTAATATTCGAAACGATTATCGGTCCTCAATACCAATATTTATATTGTCGTAGCTCTTCTTTTTATGAAATTATAGTTTTTGAAAAATGAGAGATTTGAATCCTACTCTAAGTACATCTTATGATTAACTGCATAATCATTAGCTTACGAAGCTCAGGTGCATACTGTAGTAGTTGTTTTATTCTGTTGTTCTTGCTCGTATGAATTATCCACCTAAAGGAAAATCCGTACAATAGAATGACAAAATTACACCAAATTTAATTCCTAACAGACTATCCGAAAATTCTTTATTTATGATGGATTTACTAGAATACTCATTCACATCAGATTTAATTGTTTTAATTTAATTTTTACATAAAATTTAATTAAATAATTTTATATAATAAATAAATAATAATTTAATTTTTTTCCTTTCTATATATAATACTTATTAAGTATTTCACTTAAATACAAAAATTTTAAAATTATCATTTATTTATTATATAAAATCTTCAAATCAAATTTCGTATAAAGTTAAACTAAAATAATTAAATTTAACCAAAATAGCACTAATTTTTCTAGTAGTGAATGAATCTCGCTAATTTTGATTATAAAAAACATCATATTACTATTATTTTATTAATGAATCCAGGAGGTGGCAGCCAAGCCAAGTGGGATAAAAGAGTAAATAAAAATTACAACTCACATCACCAGCTATGCTTTCAAAAACTGCATGTAAATAAAACCATCTTTGGTTAAAACACTGCATACAACATGCGTTTCAGGATTTTATTTTATTATATATAATAAGCATTGCCGAATTCTGTACCAGCAAGCAAGAAGCATGAGGCTCCCAAGCACCACGCTAATTAAGAAGATAAGTAACGAGACATCCATGACTGGAAGCGAGACCATGCTAGCTGGACGGCAGCTTCATCCTCATCAGGCAATCCCATGCTCTTTCTCCTCTTTATACCTTCCGGGGACCTATTCATGAAGGCATGTGCATTGCCCAAGTAGATATGCACCTCGTGTGGAACTCCTGATGCTTTCAGCTTTTCCTCCAAGGCCTTGGCAGCCTGAAAACAAAAAATTCAAACCAAGTCAGTGTTTTATTTCCTTTTAAAACCTTTTTCTGTTTAAAAGAAAAGCAATCCGATCCCTGTAGCAGCAGAACAATAATAGAATGTACATTATAAGTTTATAACCACATTAATCTCTTTATCACGTTTTTTTATTTTTTATTTTTTATAAAAAAGGTCATTTTCTAAATTCCCTCAACAACTACCACACTGACCGGTACTCTGTTTAAAATGGTCAAAACTTAAAAGTAGGATAATGATCCAGATAAGGAAGGATAAGAGGATATGTTAGGCTGATAAAAAAATAAAAGATATATTAGGATTATATTATAATTATGAGTATATTAGAATTAAAGTAACATTTATATGGAAGTTTATATTTATGTAACATTTGTCTAGTAGTTTATATTAGGATTTGTTATTATCTCTCAATTAGAAGTCTAATTAGGAACTAATCAACTAGGTCTAATTAGTTTTAGGTTTCTATTTAAGCGTAGGTTGTATTAGGATTAAGTAGTTTATGAGTTGAATGAAATAATCTACCAAAAATCCACAATTCTGCTATTTTCTTGCCACCCTTGACTCTGATATTCCACCACTAATAAGAGAATATAGATCATTTGCCATCCTAATATCAAGCTCCTAAATAGAGCAATTAGGTTAAACTGTGCAGAATCAGACAAACGTTTACTTACATGTTACAGTGACATGCACAATGGCTAAAACAAGACAAATTACAGTGATTGAAAAACTGGCCAAGACAAGTTGATCTAATAAACAATTAAACACACTATCTTCCTATAGACATAACTGCATAGCCAGCAAGCAGGAATAAACAATTAAACAATCATAATGAAACAAAGCAATTTGGAAAGATCATATAATCAGTTTTTTAATTTCTTTTCGAAGTGAAAAAGGGATAGGGAAACCAAATGGGTCCCAAAATAGACAAGAAAATTTCCAGTATCCTTTCTTCACAGATCAGAAACTTGTTATTAAGCTCTTCCATTAACAAGGTATCTGGACTTACCATAATAAAAGTAAAAAAGTAATCCAAAAAAAATAAAAATGGGGAAACAACGCATCTGCTGCCATTATTTTCAGTTTGAGAAAAAAAAAAATCAATTGCCATTTGCTTCTTGTCATTCAGTATGTGAGTTTTCAACATTTCAAAGAAATAACTTCAGGATATGGAATATGACCAGCAAAAATTAAAAATTTGGAACCTGGTAAAGTCATCCATACCGTCACATCTGAAAAGCCAACAAAATTATCAAGTTCTCCAAAATGAGCCTGAACAGGGGCCTTAGCCTGGGCAGGATCTGCAAGCTCTGATGAAGGAACCCCATAAAATGCAACGACAGCATCAACCTCAGGAACTAAAACAGAACTTGCAATAGAGAGAGCACCCCCCATGCAGAAGCCGGTGACACCAACCTATTGCAATAAAGTGCCAAATTATTTACTGGCCAATGCAGAGAACTTAAAACCCATACCAGAAGTTGATAAACTTGAAGTTGGAAACATTTAATAAATTTGATGTTGCATGCAGGTTGGAGCCATAATAGATCCATTAAAAGCTCAAAATAACCATCTAGACATTGCATTTGGAATTGGGAAAAACATAAGATGGCTTCATCATAAATAGCAGAACTAAAATTGTAATTCAAAATTATAACTCCATCTAAAAATTGCATTTGCCAATCAAATATATATATATATATATATATATAACTCCAAGTTGTCCTCAACAGGGGAACAGAAACTTCAAATTTCATAAACAAGTTGCAAAACTTAGACCATCAACATTGTCCAAATTTCAGCCATATGAATATGTGAGTGGTCTCTAGATACAGCAAATGACCAACATTTTCAGCTTGAAACAAACAACTTATCCAATAGCTGACAAAAACCAACTGTGAAGTATGAACGCCAAATGTTATGCCCAAAAAGTTGTTACAAACTAGTATTAATGAATTCACTAGATAAGGCAATTTAAGTTAGAAGAGAAGTGGAGAGGGATGACGAGATAAATGTGAATCAAAATGAAATTTCACCTCTTTCTAATCTTTAATACTATGTAAAAGGAACAGACAGAAAACTGAAGTAAAGCACAACCATTTGATCATTTGACACAACTTTCAATTAAAAAGTTAAAAAATAAAAACTCAATCAAAAAAAGCACGTGAGCCCCTTAAAATGTCTTTCTCCCAGTTTTTTCTCCCTGTTTTAACTTTCTCAACACATCTCATTTCTCTCTTCATTTGCATGCAAACAAGAAAGAAACAAGAGATTATTAGATTTTTGTCCACCTTTTCTCTTTACCCCAAGTCATCAATCTTTACGTACAATATTTTAAACAGGCATTCAAGTAGTCTACAACATAAAGGGTAGATAATTTCAGAAGCCTTCTAACAGATTGAGAATAATGCACAGTGGTCTGGTAAGAACAGAACCAGAGTCCAAGTTTTGTTATATAGACAACATTACCTTCTTTGAACCATTTTCCTTGAGCCAATTAACAGAAGCATGAATATCCTTTACAGCACCTTGCCAATCAAGACCATCCATAAGGTGTTGTGCTTCTGCAACATCTAGACCAACCTTTCCTCGATACAAGCTGAACCAAGAGTTAGGAATCAAATAAATCAAATGACATGTAAATGCATTTATGAAGCATGCTCTAAGCTGCCCATAAAGGTTATATTAAGTTGGGAGTAATGATTATTCCTTGGCCAAACCAAAAAAAAGGGTTAAAATTAAGAAACTTAAAAATCTAGAATTACATATTTCTTAAGGAGAGTTGGTAATATCTATTGCTTAATCATACAATATTTTAGTAGAAAACATTCAATTTTAAGGAATAGAAATTCCTAACTTCTTAAATAAGTTTCATACTTTTGCTTTATTTTTACTGTTTGACCAGGCAATACCCAATGCTTCAAACCAAACTTGACCCTGGATTTCAAATGTATGCCAAAGTAGCTATGTAGTCTAGGAAATGCTTAGGGCATGTTTAGGTTGAGGGAAATGGAAAGGATAAGGGGAGGGAAATGAGAAACCTTTCTCGGACAAGAAGAGAAATTGGAGGGGAGGGTAATATTTTCTATCCTGTACCTTCCTTTCCTTCGCTAATTTTATATATGCTATCCAATTAAGGTGTGAATATTCTCTTTCCTATCCCTCCCCTCCTCTTGTCCATTTCTCCCAACCTAAGCATACCCTTAGACCCATGTAAATAATGTCTAGCTTAATTGTAACCTTGATCATTCCTATCCAGTCTTTAAGTACGCTAAAATTAAAATATTGCAGAATTTTATATGTTCTCATTTATCTAGGAGTCTACATATTTAAAAATGCATGCATACCTAAGCTCTTTCAATTGCTAGAGTGAAATATTTTAAAGATTTTCAGCAATTATGTTCAATGATGTTCTGAAACAATCAAATTTAAGCTTTTAGCCTAGGCTTTTCTACATCTCATTTTATTCAGTTGCAGCACTCAATTTTATTCATTTAACCTTGATTCCATAGCAAACCCTACCCAAAATTTTCCTTAAATTCCAGTTTTATTCTAATTCCTCACTTCACCTTAAAAGAGAGTCCCAAAGGCACAAAGTTACATGAAGTTCAAACGAAGGGGAAAAAAAATTAACAAAATAATATGAAGCTTAAGCAGACGGATATTCCTAGATATCATAAAAGAGATACACAATCACTACAAACATCATTTTTTTGTCAATAATTACTCTGGTATAAGCGCTTTAAATCCAGGCTGCAGTTGAGAAATTTTCAGAGCATGATTCTTGATCTCAAAATCCACACCCCACCACTCCTGGAGAACAACAATCCCTGGAGCATTTTCATTTCCAACCACATATGCATCAAATGCCTGATCAAAGAAATCACTGTTATCAACTTTACCCCCAAAAATGTGAACACATCAAACCAATTCAACCCTCAGACTAAAAGCAATAATAATTTACAGAAAGGGAAAAAAAAAAAAAACAATAAGTTAACAAAATCTTGGTTGCAATTTATAATGCAATCTCGCGTTACCCCCACTGAACCAATTTGATTCCATTCCATACAAAACCCATCATTCACTAGCAGAATTATAAATCCAGAAACAATATAGCAGGGACTCCTGGAGTAGCAAGGTAAATATTTCACTTGCATGATATTAAGAATGAACACCAAAAATCGAAACTAGTAAATCAAATGCAACTTTATAGATAAAATACCAATCACTTCAATATAGTCGAAAGGAAATGCAAGATTCTGATAATGTAAATCGCGGTTAACAGGTGCCCAGTACAAGCAGAGTCCCTACTCCAGTAACAAAATCCCAGATAACAGATACCCAGTAATCCAAATTATCGGAAAGTTCAAATATGATACTCGGAATTGCACAAAAATTAAGAAAAAAAAAGGTAAAAAGAAAAAGAAAAGAACTCACAGTATCCTCTCTGTGAATCTGAATTTTCTTGAAAGTGGGAGCCGCGGAGCCAGCCATTGACCTGACCGAGACGCCGGAACTGGGCCGGGAAGATGAGAGAGCGAGAAATGAAGAGGAAGAAGAGGATCTGATGAGAAACCTAGTGAATAGTTTGGAGGATGATAGTGTTGCCAACATTCTTCACTGCTATTACACTCAACCAATTGGGCCTTTGGCTCATGTTAGACAAACGGAGACTATCATCCTCCAACACTTGAATAAATAAATCATAGATTATATACTAACACTTGAATAAATAATAAATTCTAATAACAATATCTTATATGAAATCTTTTTTTTTTAATCTAAACTAAATATATAAATATATATATCTAAGTTATTCGACACCTATTAGATTATATACTAAATATAAAATTTTGATTATTTGGGTAGATATCAAATTTAAAAAATTATGTCGTAAACGACCTAAGTGACTAAACAATTATTTATTTTCGTTGAAAATAAGAGATTTTGAGTAGTAAAGTATGTAGGTGGAGTGGGGTAAAATAAGGGATGTGAGAGAGTTGTCTCCTATTGTGCAATCAAGGTAAACAAAAAAATTATATCAAAAAATTTTCAAATCAAGTAATAAATATAATTCATACCATATTTATTCTAAAAAATGCTAACCTTAGATAGAAGGCAAGGGAATTCGCAGGTTGGATTGATATGGGTTTTAACATTTTTAAAATTAAATTAATTTAATCAATTAATAAAATTTTCAAACTAATCTAACACATTTATATTATAACTAAACCAATTCAATTAAGATTGGATAGGTGTGGTTTGATCATATCCATGTGATTCAGTGAAATTGATCAATTTTAATACTATTTTAGGTATATTTGATTTGTTAAAAAAAATCTAAATATCAAATTGTTGAAAATACAATTATAAGACACACTAACATCATACTCCCTTCATTCATTTTTAATAATCTAGTTGATTTTTTTTACTTTTTGGGTATAACTTTCAAATAAAAATTTAATAACCTATATGAATAATAATTGAAAATTTTTTTCTTGGGTTAAACCCCTATTTTGGTCCTTGAACTATTGTACAGACCCCCGATTTGGTCTATGAACTAAAGAAATCCCTAATTTGGTCCTTAAACTATTGTACGGACCCATGAGTTGGTCCCTAAACTATTGTACGGACCCTCAAGTTAGTCCCTAAACTATTATATGGATCCCCAATTTAGTCCCTACTGTTTACCAATTTAGCCCCAACTTGGTCCTTTTGTTAAATAATAGCTCAGGGACCAAATTGGGGCGAAATTGTAAACAGTAAGGACCAAATTAGGGATCCATACAATAGTTTTCGGATCAACTTAGGCCAAATTATAAACAGTGGGACCAAATCAGGGGTCCGTACAATAGTTTAGGGACCAAATCAAGGATTTCTTTAGTTCAAGGATCAAATCGAGGGTCCATACAATAGTTCAGGGACCAAAATGGAGATTTAACCTTTTTTCTTATATGAATTTCTTGTCAAATATTTTTATTTGATAAAAAAAAATCAATTATTTATATAATATATTAAATTTTCATTAAAAACTTATGTTAAAAATAAAAAAATCAAATTAGAATTACTAAAAATGAATAAAGGCAATAAATAACAAAATCATAGTATCAATAAGGTAATTAAGACATGTAAACCTAAGCTGCATCTATTTAAGAAAAGAGAGAGTTCTAAGAGTAAAGTTTTTATTTGTATAAAAGACAATTTAGAGTTGTATTATTTTTAATTAAGTTAATTAAGTTATATTGTACAATTATAAAACAAAAAAAAAAAGTAAAAAAAATGATAGTTAATACAATTAATATTATACTACAATAATTATAATAATATTATACTTTAGAAGTATGAAATGTACTATGAGAAAATAAAATTTCAAAATACAATTTGTATACAAAAAATAATTTTTTTATTCAAAATTTAATTTGTATACAATTTGTCAGTTATATTTTCATTTTACCAAAATATTCAAAAAATATATATTTACCAAATAATAAAAAACAAAAATATTAGATTATTTAATTAAATTATTTTGTAACCAGGTAATTGATCATTTTGAAGGTAAAATCAATAAAATAAATCAGTTATATTAATTTTGAAAATTTATAATTGAAACTAACTTAAATTGATATTGGTTTGAATTAAATTTTAATTAAATTAAATCAGTTTCAGTCAAATCAGTTAGAGTGGATTAAATATAAACAGCACTAGTAGCCGTTAGTCTTTGGAAAAAATATTTTGGATGATTTATTTAAAATTTTATTTTTTTAACTAATATTTTTAAAAATTACCAGTTAGATTTCAATTTTTATAAGAGTATTCTGAAAAAATGTGGGTTAAAAAAAATTCAAAGTAAAGAGTTTCAAAACTATATCTACAAAAATTCTTAAAATACAAAATTATCCTAAATTAGTACATGTGATATCAAATTTGTCCCCTTTTCCAAAATATCCCTAAATTTCCTATGCTCTGCTTAACAACATATCTATTTTTTTTTTTCCAATTTTACCTCAAATTAGACCTTATTTTTTATTTGTTTTGCTTCAATAACTAGAGGACAATCTCCTTTTTACTAAATGTATTTTTATCATAGATTGTATAATGTGAGATATCCATCTCGCATCCCTTAATCAACCTTATGTGCATATTATGTAACTCAAATGTAAAGCCTCTTTCACTACAAAAAATTATTATTAAATTATATAGGTAATTGGTTTTTATTAAACATTTTCATTTTTTTGTTATTTAAGACAATAAAGTGATTTTTTTTAGCTCAAACAATAAAACGAAAATATAATAAAAAAATATCATGAAATTATGTTTCTTTTTTTTATTTTTTTGTTACAATACAAAGAGATACTTTACAATAACATTACACAACTAGTCACCCATACACATTGTATCTTCAAATTAACATGCTCTTTCTATTAACAAATCCTTCCTGCGCCTTTGTAATCTCGTTGAACTTTTGGCTTCCTCTTGAAATGTATCAATAACAAAAAGAGATAGCATAGACAGACAGGATCACCACAACAAATATTATTAGGAAATTCAATTAAAAGGGTATTAACAACAAAAAGAGTACCGATAACAAAAAAAAAAAAAAAAAAAAAAAAAAAAAACCATTGAAACATAAAAGAAGGTGACCAGGTTGATGTTTAGATATAGGTTCATTCGCTGGGGTTCAAATTTTTACATGATGCTCGATTGTGGCTAGCCTCACCACATTGACAGCAATGCACTCTTCTTCCTTTTTTCATAAATTGTGATTCAATATGTTTAGCCTTTAGCCTCTCCGAAGGTCGCTTGCTGTAGAGGGAACAAGAATTCCTCATCTTCAATGTCAGGTGTACATGTAGCATCTGGTCTCTCTTCTAACATGTCTTGAGTTTCAATTGGAACCATTAAGTTGTTATAAATTAACTCTTGCTTGTGTATTTGATAACATCCTCCACATAGTCATATAAATTACCCTTCAAATTTTTTATTGTAGCACATGCATAAGGCACAGTATACCTTACATTAGCCACTAAAGACAAGTACATGCACTATAAAAAAACCGCTCAATTGTGACACTTAAATTTTGACATTGGGGTTTTATGTTAGGATATTGTAACTATGGCTTAAGCAATTGTGACACATCACTTCACTGCCATAAATTCTATGAAATTTCAACACTTTTCTACCACTTAATATAAAAGCATTGGTAATTTTGAATTATAAGACTAAATTCCATGTCATTCAAAAAAATATATCGTTTCATTGTTTAACTTAAAAATAAATTTTAGAAAATTCTAAATAATTAATTTTTAAATTTTCAAATAACTATAATTTTAAAAGAATATATTTATTATTTTATTGTAAAGCCTAAAAAAAACAATTCTAAAGAAATCTCAACACTTATACCTTCACAAGGTCTACAATATTTGGGTATAAAGGTTTACATGAATATTTGGAACCCATAATAAATTTACAATTTACAAAATAAATGAATATTTGGAATCTAATTTACTTTTAACCATACAGATACCGTAGTTATTGTCATGTAACTCATCATATTTATTAATTTAAATTTTGAATTTTTGATCCATTGCTCTGTTGTTCTTATCTTCGGCCAATCAAAAAATCTAATTATCAGAGAATGTTTTAGTTTATATTTAGTTTATGTTTTGTAATTATAAAACATATCTTATTTGTTTGGATTATTGTAAAAGTGGTGAAATTTTTTTTTTCTTTTGCTCATGTTCTGTATTTATTGGTAAAAAATAATTTAAAGAATTATTGAAATCAAAATGAGCAATAATCATTTGTATTTTTTTTTAAAGCTAAAATCATTTGTATGAAATGAAATTAGATGTTATGTAGTTGATTGTATTCCACATCACTCAAAAATAATATATTAATTTATTAAAAATCTTACAAATGGAAATCAATCTTACTAAATTATAATTTATATTGGGCTTGAGTATCTATGTTGTTCTTTTTTAATTTACTTTTTGGCTCATTCATATAGTTAGTTTATTTAAAAATTTAAATTTAATTTGTTTTGTTATTTAATTATTAAAAAATCATAGTAAAAGTAATAAAATTTGGGTTTAAAAATATAAAAAACCTTAAAAAATTGTATTTTTTAACTGCACATTGTGTTGTAAAAAAATATTGATATTATCAACACTTTTTGTGCTGAAATTAATACCTATAAGTACTTTAATTAGTGCTAAATTTTGTAACATGTCCTTTTTCTTTAAACTTTTTGGTTTATCAAGTAGGGAAGTATATTGTACAAGATAAAACCAACAGTAGGAAATATCTATGGAAACATGTTAAAGTGAAGTAAAAATTCTTCTAATACAAAACGTTTCCTTTAAGAAAACCTGCTTTTAAAAAAACAATTTAAAGTTTTATAGAAGGAAAATCATCTACCTATAAGGAAAACTTTTTTAATGAAAAATATCGTAAGAAAAATATCAAAATATTGAAAATTATAAAATAAGCTAGGTTATGCCCATTTGAATTAATCTTAGGCCCCGTTTGGTATAGCGGTTTTGAGGTAAAACCGCTAAATATAGGTGTTTGGTAAATTTATATATTTCGAAACCGCTACAACTAAAGTGTTTAGTAAAATTTTTATTTAACGGTTTGAAACTAGCAGATAGCGGTTAGGGTCCAAATCGCTAGCGGATTGAAAAAGCTAGTTTATGTAGCTTTTTGTAC